CCTGTGCAGGGTTTCTGAGGCTGTAAATCTTTATGGGAGCAGAACGCTTCATCTTTCTCCTGCGGAATAGCTGGTAGGTAGTTTCAAACTGCTGAGGTTAGCAGCCTGATTTGTAATCACTAAGCTACCAGATATATATATTATGTTCTTGCTGAGATATCTCTGTCAGCAGATATCTGATAGCGAGTCTGATGGCTCACTATTTAAGCACTTGGCAGCTAACCAAAAGGTTGATGGTTCAAACCTATGAGCTGCTCTGTAGGAGAAAGGTGTGGCCATCTGTTGCCGTAAAGATTACAGTCTTGGGTTACAGTTCTATTCTAGCCTAGCGTCACTGTGAGGTGAAATCAACTTGACAGACTGGGTTTTTGGGTTTTGTATATATCACCTTACTTCAAAAAAGAGATCGATATGTTTCACATTTTTGCCATTAGAATGATCTGAGACGCATTAACTGTGTGAGTGATCTCTAGCCATAAGAGTGACTTTCAACACCAGGAAGATGCTGGGATTCTATTCTATTACACAGCCTCATGATAGAAGGTGGAGGTCACCACTATAGAGGTGGGGTGCTCTTACTCAGGCTCCCCACGATTGCCCCACCGCCGTGGTAGAACACGATGCCAGGCCTCGGAGTCAAGGAGGACGCCTTTGGCTGGTACAGCTTCACAGGGATTGTCCCGAAGCGGAGGTCTGTAACCACAACAGCTGGGTCCTTCTTTAGCGGCGGCAGATCATGCATGAAGCGGACAAATTCGGGCATAGAGCAGATTCTTAGTGTCTCAAAAATCTTCCCCTGTTGGAGAGAGAAGAAGTAACGTCAGGAGAATGGGTTCAATGCACAATGTCTTCCACATCCTTCTTGCACATCCACCCTCTACTGACTGACTAGAGGGCTTGTTTTCAATGACCAGATTAAGCCCTGCTTAATACCCGCTAGTGCTTCCGTCACGATGACATGAAATCCACCTGGCACCTGGCACCTGGCCCATGACCCCAACTCTGACCCCTGTCATCCCATCTGTCCTGACACATTCCACCTCAGCCATACAAGCCAGGCTTCTGGACACTTGTCATAGGTCCCTCTCTCTGGAGTGTGCCATATTCCACCCTATCTTCATGTGGCTCCTGATCTACTTTGAGACCAGGTCTTGACGTCTCCTCCCTGAAGCCTTTCTGGTCAACGTGGCTACTCCCCAGTACTCTTTACTGTGCTTACTACAGAGCGCTTAGATACCCAAATAGAGGCAATGGCTGCACAGCACTGTAAATGCATGAAATGTCACCGGATTATACACTTTAAAATGGGTAATGCTATGTGAACTTCATCTCACTAAGAATATATGTGTACATAT